AGAGCCTCTTTCTGTGCATAGAGATCCGCTCTTTTTTTTTTTTTTTAGTTTTTTTATTTTGGGCCCATAGATCGAAACAGCATCATTTTTAGGGTTGGGCATGTTACGGTAAGATAACAGTATCGTACTTAAATGATGGTAACCATTTTAAGTGGTAATGAGAAAAAGTTATCACTTTCATATCGATTGATAATTTTTTGGTAATAATTGCCAATCATTTTTAATGGTAATGAAACTTGCTTTACCAATACCATACCATATTACCATCTTTAAACTTATTTTCTTCATTATCAATTAATTCAAATCATTCAAAATTCAATCTTAAAAACTCAAAATTATCTTAAAAACTTATTTTCTTCGTATTGTTCTTCATCATCTTGAAGCATACAAATATATAATTATACAAAACATGCACACATCAAAAAAAAGAAAATAATAGAACTAGCAACAATTGAAAATTTTGTAGAATAAAAAAATAAAGAGGAAAAAGTTTTGAATGAGTGATAAATTTGATAACTATATGGTAAAAATGGTAATAATCTCCAATACCAATACCATATCATAGGTCTAAATGGTATTACTATATTACCATTTAGACTTATCATATGATAATTTATCATATCATTTTTATTAATAATGAGATGGTATAATAGTAATTATGACGTTTATGATATAGTACCTAGTCTTAATTATTTCGGCCTGACATGTCTGTGTCGGTGGGGTCGGCCTGTGACAAGCAGGTGCTAACAAGCTTGTCATTTTCTCAACAAAGTCTTGGCTTTTAAATCCAACGGCTTGGACTTTTTTATAAAAAAATTTTAATTTAAATATATAAAAAATATATATAATAAAAATAATAATTGTGTATTTTTAAAAAAAGTTTTGTTTGAAAATATACATTACAAGATATGTGTTTTGTTCAGCGAATCAGCGGTGGAATCCAAAAGGCCAAGGTTAGGCACTGGCCCTACCTTGGATCTTAAAAAAAAGGGTTACAGTCATTTATCATCTTTTTACTATAAAAAATAATGTATTTTAAACTTTTTACCATAGATTGACTTTATATCGTCCTTTTACTATTAATTAACATTACTTGTCATCCCTTTACAATGCAAAACCTTGCTAATGTCATCCCTCCATCCAATGTAAGCTAACGATGTTGTTTATTGACCGTTAAGTGTAAACGGTCAAACTAGTTAGGTTTTTTTTATTTTTCTTTTTTGGTTGCCACCATTATTTGTGGGCCTCTCCCATTGCACATCATCTCTCGCCACATCATCTTTCACAGCGTATAAGAAATCCCCAAATCACTCTCTTTTCCCTAATTTCTTTCTTCCTTTCGAAAACCCATCTGAATTCCTAAATCAAAAATCTACGTTTCTTCCTTTCTTTTGAAACCCAGCACAGTATTTTCGTTTCTTACGTACAAATAATGGTTACCTGTTCGACGCTGTGTTCCCCACAGAGCTTCGCATGGAGAAATTCTCCCCACAATATTTGGACCGGACAAGATCCAAGGAAAGAGTACAGATTGTGGCGGACGCGATGACCACTTGGTTGAAATATGGAGAGAAGGTAATGATTCAGGTCAGATCTCCCCAGTTTCAACTGGATAAGACCAAGCTTCAAGTGACAATGTACTCACCACCATTCACCACTCATGGGACATCCATGAACCAGAGACTGGTTCAATTGGGAATTGTTGACGTAAACAGCAATGTTTTCCCCGGTATTCACAACATCGTTGCCACCGGACCTCCTTCCGTTAACATTGCTCCTCCTGGTTATTACATGCTTTTCGTGAATTTCAATGGCGTCCCTAGCGTCGCAGTGTGGGTTCAAATCAAGTAGGCTTGACCTCGAAAAAAACTGATGAAATAACTTGCAGGAGCTGCTGCTTTGTCAATTGTCCAATTTTTACCCTTATTTTTTGTGATTCATTCTCATATTGTAGTAGGACCACTTCAAATTGACGATAGTTTTTTTTTTTTTTTT